TATCGTAAATTCACTATTTACGCTTCCCGGTATCGTACCGGTTCCGTCGCGAAACTTCAACGGGTCATAACTTCTTCGTTATAACTCGGATTTCGGCGTTCTTTATATGTACGGAAACCTTGTAACATATTACACAACTTGGTTAAGATTATTTATTCTAAATAATCGTTTGTCGAAAAGTCGTTTTCGACACTTATTGCCTTAAAATTGACTAGCCCAGATCTACGGGCGTTACACTAGCCTCTTGAAGTATTTTGGTGCTCTTATTTTGCTTCTCGGTGTGATTTTGGTGAAGTAAGTTCTATTATGGTGTTCAAGTAAACTATCTATAGAGGTTATCTACCTTCTTTTTTCTTTTCCTAGCTCTCTAAGTTTTGAAGATCCTATCTTTTTTACTCTTTCATGAAATATTTGGGTTTTAGGTGGTAGTAAGACATGTTTGGTCCCTATATATTGATGTTATTGAATATTAAGGATCTTCATAACTTGTTGTTGATTTTTTTTTATACTTTTGGAATTTTCATGATGGATAGAAAGACCATGTATGTGCTTTTCTAGAGCCATGCACTTGTTTTTGGCATTATAAGTGGACTTTTGGACTTAGGGTTTGGATATTGGTTTATCAAGCAATTGGGATGGATGAAGTTAGAAACGTTATCCATTAAGATGTTATCGAGTTTCAGATATGAAATTTAGAACTCTTGTCTTTAAGGATTAAGAACTTAACAAATTTAGGTGTTTTACCGAGTTAGCGGGGCGACACATTGAGGGATCTTGGCTCGATCTTTTGAGGTTTTGTGACTACTTTTAATGTAGTGATTCACAACATGACCGGTCCTTTGTCTTGATGCGACCATTGACCATTGATTGTTGAGATTTTGACTAGTTTCACTTTTAGTCGAACTAAGGATTTTGAGTTGTACACTGAGTTAGAACCTCTATTTGGTTTCTAGGTAGTATATGTTAGTTGTTTAGGTTTTTGAGATTTTGGAGATTGTAGTTGTTACATCAGTTGAGTTTTCTCATAATACTATATTTTGTAGTATATATCCTTTGTAGGAAGAATGTAGTGGTATTGTAGTATGTTGATTAGGCAAGCAAGATGGTTTAGTCTTCTATGTGTTGATTGCTTGTTGTTAAACAAAGTATCATGACAGTAACCAACTGCTTAAGGATAACTTTTGAATTGGGTTGTGGCCTTCGGTTAACAAAGTATCATTAAAAATGCTAGTCTTTCCGTAAATATTATATAAAATTGGTGGTTAGCCTTTTATTTGTTAAACATTTAGATCGCCATTTCTAATAAAACTCATACCTCAAGTTTAGTGATGAGGGAGGACTAATCAACGATCTATCATATTCCTCTATTTGATACACAAGCTCTGGACCATTAGAGTACTGGACTAATAGGCCATTGTGGATAAGTTGTTGGCTAGACATGACACATAACAGATGGATCAACTGCTCCATACTAATATTGATCATTTTAGCTATTAAACCAGCGAGATCTGGAAAAAATTAACCTTATTCCATCCTTTACTTGGTTGGTTTTTTAAGCAACTTGAGATCTAATTTTATGTCTCTCCTATATGCCACCATAAGTTACATGGTGTTGAACCGAACTTCAACAAAATATTAAACAAGAATACAAAATTTTTAAGGAATCAATGTCAAAGGTTTGTATTTGGTTCCTCTCCTTAATTCTCATTTTATAGGTAAGGGTTAGCGAAGATGGTACTAATTGCGACATAAGAGATGATGATTGTTTGTTTCGGTCTGATGGGCACAATGATGGTATGGTTTAGGGTTGTAGAGAAGGTGATAAAAGGGTTGAAGATAGTGAGGCAATGATGAGGGTGAAGCTAGGTGATGTGGTGGAAGATCATGATGAGGTTGAAGATGGTGACGTGTAACATTGGCTCATGGTCCTGTGATATGTAGTTATTAAGTGTATGGATGATATAGTCGAAGATGATGATGTAATGAGGAAGAGGAATATTGGTTGTTGTGGTATAACATGGTCATCCGATGATATAGACGTGATGGTGTTGTAGTTGGTTACGTATTATGGTAAGGTGTAGAAGATGAAGGAATTAATTCAAATGATGTTTTCAGGTTTGAGAACATGATTGTGCCTTGTGGTGGTGTAGATGGATAAACCACATTATCCCTTGGGGGTATATGATTCAATATTGTGTATATATAACTTTATTGGTGCACCATTTTAATCTAAGTTATGCGTCATTTGATCCAACGACAATAAAGATGGTTATATGGTTAAACACTATTATTTGGTTATAGTTTAACCAACCCCCCCCCCCCCCCCCCCCCAAACCTAACTATCTCTCTCTTATATATATATATATATATATATATATATATATATATATATATATATATATATATATATATATATATATGTTCGGGTTCGAATGTGAATGCAGTTATTTTGAAAAAGAAAGAGAATGAATTATAACCAATCATTTGCATTTTCGGAGGTCATTAATTTAAAAATTAAAATAATTAACTAACCATCCTTAAATAATATCGAATAGTATATTAGTCTAAGTGATGATAACAACTTATGGCTACTATTAACCTTAATAGCCATAACTATAAAAATGTTTTAATTATTCATATTCATTAATTTTCTAAAAAAATCGATAAACATCAAAAGTTGAATATAAATGAATTACACACAAGTTGTTTATACACGGAGAAATTAATATACAAATTGAATATACACGGATAATTTGATACAGAAATTGAAGATAATTTGAGAGTTTGATACACAATTTATGTATACATGGACATACACAATTTTAATATATATATATATATATATATATATATATATATATATATATATATATATATATATTATATATATATATATATATATATATATATATATATATATATATATAAAAGGAAAACTAAATATACCTTACAAGGTATAAAAAATTAAGAACCCAAACTAACCATACTACATCGTTCTATATCATATATATGCATTCTAACCGTTCAAAGTTACTTAAATTCAACTCCTAACTTGATTTACTGCCATGATTTACACACATTTCACCATTATCATCCTCTTGCATACTTTACATTTGCAACTGTAATATATACAACATGATTGGTGTTCGTCAGAAATATATGATGTAAAAGGAAGATTTATATCAATGTTGTAAAAAACGTTCGATGTTAGCTATTCAGTGGACCGAGGTTAACGGATTAATTAGCTAGGCGATAATTAATCAGAGAGTAATCACTCACATTAAATTAAAAATTTGTTGAATTTTAAAAAATTAAACAAAACTGCAAAAAGGGTCCCTATGGTATGCATTTTTTTGGATATTGATCTAAACCCCAACTTTTTTGGACTGATGGTCATTTTGAGATGGTTTAATTGCATATTTGGTCCCCCCCTAATGATGTAATAAATCGAGGAATGAAATGTAAATCAGAGTAATGAGAACTAAAAACACGAATGTAAATAAGATCTGGTTTCAAATCATATTATGCTTCAAAGGTTACAAAGAGAAAAATAGACAAGATAGACTCCGTGTTCTTATCTAACTCTAAGTAACTCCCCTATTTATAGGAGAACAATAAAGCATACAAAAAATTACAAAGTACTAGGCATTAAGATTCGACATACAATGCCTTTGTAAAATAACATTACAACTTCGACATCTTACAACCTAACTTTGACCTTAACAATCTCCCCCTTTGTAAGCAATGTCGAAATCAGTTGATCAAAAGTTGACCTGCCATGTGTAATGTTTGATGAATCTCGACATACCAATTTGTCACCTTCTTCAGTTCGACTTTATCACCATCATTGTTTTTTTTTACAATTATTCATATGAACAATTAAGGTTGTATAATGAGCAGTTGTATATCTTTCAACTTCACAGGTTTGGAAAAAAATTCGATGGCTTTCCCTTCTTACTTTTTCCAGCAAAAACTACTCTGAGTGGCTTCAAACAAATTTCACCATCTATAAATTTCTTAAATTGAGCTTCACTAAACACTTTTTCTAGAGGAACAGTTATTTATTTTCCAACTGAAGCAGCCAACTCAACATTGGTCAATGTTAGAAAATCATAGTAATTATCTATAAATAGTTTGATATGACCAAATCCCAAATGTAGATCCTCTTTGTTGGTATTTTGAAGTTTTGAAGTATCAATGTCTTTAAGCATGTATGCAATTTGAATCAAGTCATTAAAGTTAATCAAAGGGAAATCAGTAATTGAAAACTCTAAAGGAACCTTATTCACCCTTATTACATGATATCGAAATTTTTTTAGCATATTCTCAAAGAGTTCACCTTTCGAAATGCTGAGAACTTGAGTAATTTTCACCAAAGGCCAAACATCCTCCTGATCTTTTCCCAAAACAACATGAAAGCTTAATTTCATGTTTATAAAACCCTCCTTCCTCTTAAATCTCTCCACCACCTTATACTGTGTAGAAAGAAACAACATTTCGTTGATGGGAAAATCAAGTTGATTTAGATCAGAATTGTCAATAGAATAACTTTTCCTGGGATTTTTCTCAAACTCGTACATCTCATTGAAAGATAACCTAGCTTCGATATTTTCATAACTATGCAGCTTCCTTGGATCTCCCTTATTCAAATGTGGATGATCATTTTGTCATTGTCTTAGAAGGCTTGCAATCTGTCTTTGTAGATCCATTTCAGCCTCAATCTCAGCCTTTCTTTCTTCTTTGGAGTTTTTAACAAGTTTCTTCCTTCTGTCTTGATTTATAGGAGTTTCCTTAGGTTTTAACCTACTTCCTCCTTCACCAGCTGAACCAATTACAATGCCTTTCGAAATTAGCCTTGTAGTAACAACAGTTGAAATTACTGGCTCAGCTTTCGACACAATTGGTTTTGATATCGGGATTTAAGTTGTGTATACCTTGCCAACTAACATCTCTTCTTCATTTATCACACCAAATGCACCTTCTCCTTTACCAACCTTCACCTATTCTCCCCCTTGCACCCCTGTAACAACAGGTGGGGCATTCGTTGGTAGGAGACTGACTATTCGAGATAACGGTGCCAATTGTTTGTGGAGAACTGATTCAAACAAAAGAAATTTTTGTGATAAAAACTCTGGTGTGATCAGAGGAGATGATCCAGGCTTCGAGATTAAAGATTTTAACTCATTCAATAAAGTTGTAATTTCAGTTAAGCTTTTACTTTCATGAGTAGAAAATTGAGCAAGCCGAGGATGCAAAGCATCATATAGCTTAACAAACTTTGTCACTGCATCTGCAATGATGTCTATTTTCTGATTGAAAGATGCATAATCCTGTTGGGTAATAGCAATCTCTTTAGACATATCTTCTCGAAGTTCTTGAAGTTTCAAGTTCACATATTCCCGAACCTTCTTCACATCTTGAATGAATTACACATGACGTTCTTTGGCAGCACGTTTCAAATCTCTAACTTACTCAATGAATGTTGAAGACTGTGACTTCACCCTGAGTTCATTATTTGTATCATTACCATCCACCTTCTCAAGAATACGAGATTCGGATGCTTGAATCAGGCCAAATAATTTGTTGAACAATCTAGCTTCTTGTGCTTTGAGCATCACATCAAGTTCGACACTGGACACAAAATTCCCTCCCCCCGCATCTGCTTGAGATTGAAGAATAGATTTAAGCTTCTTGTTCAGAATCTTGAATTTCTTCCCTGACATCAACATGTGATATGGGATGTCTTCTTCTTCTAGATCAAATTTAAGATCATCAAAACTACCTCCAAACCCTCCATCATCAGTCTCAGTATCATCAATGGATTTAGGTGGATTAGTGGATTATGAAGAAAATAGTGAAGTGATGGATTGATTGAGAATATGAGTAAAAGTTGGTGAAGATGAGACTGGAATTATAGGAATAATAAATGGTGGTATGGAAACAAGATTATTGACAATAGAATTGTCGATAATACCTTGAGTTATCATGGGATGTTCTATATTCGAATCTCCTTCACCCAAAGTGACATTTACATCCGTATCAGATACGTGTGTAAGAATGTCTGAGTTTCGAACCTCCTCATGAGATGACTTGGTTAACGAAACCTCGAGTGGTATGACTGGAGTCTACTCAGGAGTCGAAATGTGTTTTGAAATAATAGCTTCGGGAGTTTCGGGAATTTCTTCATCGGATGAGGATACTTTTTCAAGAACCAACTTTCTCTTTTTAATCTTCTTAGAGATATGCTTGGCCATATCTGTAGCTCCTCGTTTCTTTGAGTAAGGGGGCACAGGAGCTTTAACTTCACAAATAATAACCCCTTTTCGAGTGACATGTGGCTTGTGTGTGAAAGATGGAGAAAAACTTGAAGACCTTTCTGGAGACTTTCGGAAAGGATGAGCTTTCTTCTGGATTCGTTTAAGAACACTAGACTTTAAAGGAATAGTTTTAGTATGAGTATCAACAATTGCAGTCTCAACAGGCTCAGTAGTAGTTTTGGAAACTTGCTCACTGTGCTTAGTAGTCGACTTATCACCCTTCCTGGATCTTCGAGATTTCTTTGAAGTATTTTCATTTGGTTTGGCCAACATAAAACCTGTTTCATCATTCGGATTAATCGAAGCCAAATACGTCATCAACACAGGACTAGTTGGATCAAAATGCTTGATCATAGCGTTTGGAATGCATGCAACATGTGGAAACACGTTTGCATCATCTTCAACCTCCTTCAGAAAGTTGACCTTCAAAAACTCAACTGTTTGTTCATCAGTAGGCACCTCAATCCCTTCCTTTTCATACATAAAACAAAGAATTATGCTCCAGTAGCATGCACATGAAATCCCTTAGACCACATTAGTATTCTCCACACTCTTAAAAAACTCTTTCTACATTTGAGTCGAGAAATCAATAGCAAGATCATAATAAATCCCAACAGCCATGCAATAGACCTCCATTCTGCCTTTGTCTAACCCAACACTCTGACCAGTAAGACATCATAGAAAGATACCAAAAAGAAAATTTCAGATAGAAGGAAGAGCACACTTCTTGAACAGGGTGATCTTGGTAAGTGGGGGATGATGACCCATCTCATTGAACATATGAATGAGTTGATCAGTTGAGAGAGCATAGCATGGTAGAGAATTAGGAATATCAAGAATTTGACAAAACAACTTCTTGGTAAGACGAACCTTCTTGTCATTCACCAAGTTGAAAGTAATTACATCAAGAGCTTTACTATATGTTGCTGTAGAACCTGCTAGAGATAGCCAGGACAATGGAACATCGAAAGAGTTGAACATCGCAGTAGATAACACTAAGTGTTTTAAGGTTACCATCAACATTTGCAATGCTTCATGGCACACAGAAACATCCCCCTCGACTTGATAGTTTGTGCTCTGGATTTTCATAATAGGTTGTGAAGAAACATCTTTAGTAGTGTGCGATGGATCATTAGTTGGAGCAGGATTTTCCATGATTAGGGTTTAAAGCTTTAGGAATGAGCACAAAAAATCTTTCTTAATTTGGGATTTTTCTTTCAGAAAGTGTAACTGAATAAAGAACCCTTGAAACCTCTTTTATATGTAACTCTTGAATTTGAATTTGAAGCGGAATCAACATTAAATGAAATCCAATGTGGCGCCTTGAAAATCTCACCCTCACACCGATAAACTAGCCACGCATGATAAAGTAACCATCAAATCTGCTTGAAACTCGGAAAGAATACAAAGCATCTTGTCAAACAGCCTATTTGCACACTTTAATGGAATAGTAACCGCCACAAACCATCGGTATGGAATTAAGGCTCTTTCACTTTTAGGATGAAAAGCGAAGTCATGTGCCAGATTGTTGAAATACTCAACCTAAGTTGGTAATTCTCAGAACCTCAAGGAATTCGTGAGTGTAGTGTGTCAAAAAGTGAGATAAGAAGCAAACAAACAAAAATTTTGATCTCTGATTTCGAAACACAGATATTCAACATAAAAGCAGATAAACCACAGGAAAAGGTTGCTTCATTAATCATCAAGAGATATGATCAACTGCTTGTGTGGTTTCCCGTGAATCATGTTCGAATACTTGTAGAGAAGTATCGAAGGGCCTCTTTTGAATAGGCTTTGTGGGTAGTTTGAGATTTTGTTACATATCAACACTTAACATAAATGTGAGTATTTGTAACTGAAATTACTTCTTTGACCAGTGTAGTCAGTGACAAGTACAATTGAATGATTTTTGATGTGACAAAAGATAAGGATTAATACTCACACTTAAATCATATTCATAAAACAAACATTAAGCTGGATCCTGTTGGAAACAAATGTCATGGGTTAATAACATTTGATCAAGATCTCTTAAATTGATAGAATATGATTTTAAGTATTGAAAACATGGTACAGAAACAAATTTTTCGTGAAAATATGGAACATAGTTCCCCATCAATTCCTCAAAAAGGTTGGAAAATGGGTTTCACTTTCATCACAGTCTCATGAATCCAGATCATGAACACAAAGTTTTCATATGTCTAAATCTTGATTGGTTTGATCAAAGATCTCTTGTACATATGTCATTGTGTGTGATTGTGTTAGAGATTTGAGATGAAAAATATTGGTTTCAGAATCAAATTGTACCTTTGTTATAATTGGACAAAACAGTAAACTCTTAACTCATGTGAGAAGAGTAAGGTAGCTCAGTGGACTAATGTGAATATAAGCCTGATTGGGAAGAAATTTTCGTAATGAAATTTATCATTAAGGCTTTCGTAAACACATATTGAATCAATGGAGGCTTGAGTCGATATGCTACAACTTGCTTCTAGGGACAACCTAACTAGTTCAAAGTTTTTGAAAGAATACCTGACCCTAGAACTTCATGCATAAATCAATACGGATCATCATGGAAATCTGGAGAAAAAAAAAACAACTTGAAAGACAATATGAGACAAAACAAAAAAAATATTTTTGATGTCTTTGATTTTTTGAAAATGAAAAGACTTAACAAAAGTAAAATCTTTTTGGCGTTTTCAATTTTTCGGAAAATTAAAAAAAAAAACAAAAGTAAATTCTTTTTGGATTTTTTATTTTTCGAAAATAAGAAGACAAAAAAAAGTAAAATCTTTTTGAGTTTTCGATATTTCAAGAAAGAAAAAAATATCAAACTTGTGAATGTTGTCCATTTGAGCTATACACCATAATGTCGAAATCAAAGCGCGTCAAAGCGTTGACTATGAATTGTAACTTTTGACTTTGACAGTTGTTCATCTTCTTCATCATATTATTCTTTCGAAACATTCTTTTACTGAACCTCCTTCGATCATTCCCAATCCTGTCTATATTTTAACAAATGATTTTTCTTCCAATGGTTTTGTAAAGATATCAACAAACTAATCAGTTGTCTTTATAAAATGAACTTCGATATTGCCATCTTCTACATGATCTTTTATGATGTGATAACAAAGAGCAATATGCTTTGTTTTTTAATGTTGTACTGGATTATGATAAATGCGTATTGAATTTTGTGAATCACAATACAATGGAATCTTTTTCATATTAATTGCATAATCACGCAATTGACTCTGGATCCATTTAATTTGTGAAGTACAAGCAGCGGCTGCAACATACTCTGCTTCAGCAGTAGAAATTGCAACACAAGTTTGCTTTTACGACTGCCAACTTACAAGTTTCTTGTCTAATAATTGACATCCTCCACTTGTAATCTTTCAATCAAGATTACACCCTCCCAGATCTGCATCTGAAAATGCTTGAACAAAAAATCCTGATTTCGAAGGATACCACAATCCTAACGAAATTGATACTTTAAGATACCGAAATATATTTTTCACTTCAATCAAATGTGGTTCTCTTGGATTTGCCTAATACCAGGCTCTTGGTGCTTGTTTTAACCCATAAACAACTTTATCTAAGATATAAGCATGATCAAGAAATACTTCATTCACAAAACCTGCAGGTTGTTCGACGTAAACTGTTTCTTCAACTTCACCATTGAGAAATGCACATTTCACATCCATTTAACATACATCAAAATCTTTATGAGCTGCATAGGCCAAAAATATTCGAACAACCTCGAGTCTTGCGACAAGGATAAATGTTTTTTGGTAATCAATACCTTCTTGTTGCGAACATCCTTTTACAACAGGTCTTGCTTTATTTCGAACAATATTTCCATATTTTTCAGTTTTGTTTTTGAAAATCCATTTTAATCCGACAATTGAAACATTTTCAGGTTTAGGAATTAACCTCCAAACTTTGTTTCTTTCAAATTCAGCTAATTCAGATTGCATTGTAGCAATCCAATCTGAAGGTTCCATTGTAGTCATAACTGTTTTAGGCTCTATTTTCGAAATTAAAACATTGAACATGAAAAGCTCTTGATGAGCATTAAGTACCTCATTCTTTTCGTGAATCTGAGCTCTTGTCAACACTCCATCTTGAGTATTTCCAATGACTTGCTCTTTTGGATTACTCTTAACCCATTTTTCCATTGGAGGATATGTTGGATCAAAGTCTAAAGATGCATCCTCAAACATTTCTTCATTTTCAGAACCTGTAACAGAAACATTATCATTTAGATCATGAAAAATTTCATCGTGATTAATATTCGACAAACTATGCTCCCCCTTGAAAAATTCATTATCATATTGCTCCCCCTCGACATTATCATCCATTGTTCTATTCTCCCCCTCGAAAGAATGATCCCCCTCAACATTAGAATCTAAAGGCAAGTGTAATCTCGTCACTTGATTATTAAGCATGCTTTCGTCATTTTCAAAAGACGATAACTGCACTTGTTAAGTAATAGCAACTGGAGTAGATGTTGAAAGATCAGAATGTTTTGACAATTTAGAAATATGATTATCTGGAACATTTTTCTCAGCATCTGCAACCCTATCAGGAATACCAAAAATTAAATCAAAATCAAGATCACATGAATCGATACTATCAATTTCATCTTTTGATTCATTAATAATTGGTGTTTGTTCGAAACATTTATCAACTTGTTTGATATAAATATCATCAAATGTGAGATTGAAATTTTCTTCAATTTTCCTTATGCATTTATTCAACACTCGATATGCAACCGAATTATGAGAATAGCCCAAGAAAATTCCTTCGTCAGCTTTTCACTAAAATTTCGAAAGATTATCCTTGAGATTCATTATAAAACACCTGCAATCAAAAACATGAAAGAATTTGACATTAGGTTTTCGGTTATTGATTATTTCATAAGGGGTGATGTTGAAACGTTGATGAATGAAAGACCTATTCTGAGTAAAACAAGCAGTTGAAACTGCTTCAACCCATAGATATTGAGGAAGATTCGCATAAATGAGCATTGTTCGTTCTGCTTCACAAAGAGATCGATTTTGCCTTTCAACAACACCATTTTGCTTCGGTGTATAAGGTGAAGAAAAATTATGCAAAATTCCTTTGTCCATTAAAAATGAATCAATAACATTGTTCTTAAATTCAGAACCATGATCACTTTTGATCTTTCGAACTATCTTCTTTAAGCTTGTTTCTATCTTTTTTATAAAATCAATCATGATTTGTGCAACCTCAGATTTCACCCTAAGAAAATAAAACCATGTAAATCTAGAAAAATAATCAACAATAACGAGAATGTGCCATTTCTTCTTAAGAGTTGCAACTGTCGATTGACC